ATGACATTGACTTTATTTTAATCATGTTCTGTGAGAAACTCAGCCAAGACCATACATAATAAAAGCATGACTCTCCATCCAAATTGCACACGGTGCTAAAGAGACAATAAGTGAGAGGTCTCTGCTAGCCCAGGCTTACAGGGGCAGCACAGAGTGCCGAGTTCAAGGCCAGGATGTGACTGGACAGCTTTGTGTCTTCCTCAGCACTCACCTCTGGGTGGTGGTCTAAGTCCTTAGCCAGCTCTAAGTGCTTTCCTCACCTTTAAATCCAGATATAAGTATAGATGACATAGATACATATTTTTATATACACACACAGATATCAATATATAAAATAATACTACCCCTTAAAATTGTCATGAAGATTAAATAACTTACTTCCTGTCCAATCAATAGATGATGGATAAATAAAATATGCTCTATCCACACGATGAAATCTTACTCATCCTTTGAAAAGAATGAGATTCTGACAAATGCTACCGCATGGATAAACCTTGAAGACATTATGCTATGAGAAATAAGTCAGTCACAAAAGGACAAATGTGGGGACTTATTTGTGGCTCCACTTATATGGGGCACCCAGAGGAATCAAACTGATAGAAACAGCAAGTAGAATGGTGGTTGCCGGGTGCTCGGGGAGGGAGGGGATGGGGTTTAATGGGACTAGAGTTTCAGATGGGGAAGATGAAAAGTTTTGCAGATGGATGGTACCAATGGTTGCATAACAGTGTGAATATACTTGGCTCGGCACCTGTGGTTCAAGCGGCTAAGGCGCCAGCCACATATACCTAAGGTGGCGGGTTCGAATCCCCAGCCCGGGCCCGCCAAACAACAATGATGGCTGCAACCAAAAAATGGCCGGGCGTTGTGGCGGGCGCCTGTGGTCCCAGCTACTTGGGAGGCAGAGGCAGGAGACTCGCTTGAGCCCAGGAGTTGGAGGTTGCTGTGAGCTGTGATGCCACCGCACTTTACCCAGGGGGATAGCTTGAGGCTCCGTCTCAAAAAAAAAAAACAACAGTGTGAATATACTTAATGCCACTAAATGTGTACTGCAAATGGTCAAAATGGTTTATATTATGTATATTTTATCACAACAGAAAAGAGAAAAATTAATTACTTCCAAAGCACTATTATGCAAGTGTTTATTAAATAAATAGAAACACAATAAATGGGCAGATGCTAAACATATCCCAAGACTAGACTAGAGGACGAGAAATAACCCCAAAGATAAAAGAGTTAGAGAATTTAGGAGAAAGTCAAGTTGGGAAAGGCGTCATGTGAGAAAAGAAGAGAAACTGAAGCTACACGTCAATGTCACATGAGAAGGGAATGGACATGGGGAGGTAGAATTTTCTCTCTATTTAAGAGAATCACATAAAAGTTCATTCAACAAAAACTTGTAAGGAAGTACCTACCAGGTGCCATGCACTCTGCTACATGCTACTGGCAAAACTGAGAAAATAATTGTCCTCACAGACAGCTGTCGGGAGGCACCAAGGTAAACTGAGTGTCTGATGTCACATATACTTAACAGGAGTAGGATAGGCAATCCTGTGTTGCCAGGGCCAATTGTAAGTGGGAAATAAAATAGAATTGGTGTGGCCATGTCTGTACCTAAGTAGAATCAGACCTGAATTGTGATTATGCTCACAGCATTCATAAAACATTTGTTCCTTCTCAGGATCTTACCCTAGGAAAGTGGGAACAAGCAGGTAGATGGAGCAGTGGGGCTCAGCCTTTTAAACCTACTAGCATCTGGGACCCACCCAGGGACAATCTTACTTACCTCTCCTGGGGTGGAGCCTGGATATTGATAGGTTTTAAATCTCTCTTGGTCTCCTAGTGAATGGGGAAAACTTGAAAGCACTGCCCCTAAGAACTGAACAAGGCAAGAGTGCCACTCTCGCTACTTCTGTTCAACACAGTACTGGAAGTACTAGCCAGAACAATCAGGCATAATAAATAAATAAATGGTGTCCAAATAAGGAAAGGGGAGGTCAAACCATCACTGTTTGCTGACAATATGATTGTGTATCAAGAAAACCCTAAAGACTCCACCAAAAGATTTCTAGAATTGATAAATAAATTTGGCCAAGTCTCAGGTTACAAAATCAATGTACACAAATCAATAGCATTTCTGTATACTGCTAACAGTCAAACTGAGAGTTAAATGAAGAACTCAATATCATTTACCACAGCTGCAAAGAAAATAAAATACTAGGAATATGCTCACCCAAGGAGGTGAAAGTTCTCTATTAAGAAGAAGTATAGAATACTAATGAAAGAAATAATAGATGACACAAATAAATGGAAAAACATCTTATGCTCATGGATTGGAAGATTTGTAGATTCAAAGTCATCTGCAAATACAACATAACCCTCATCAACATATCAATGTCATTTCTCACAAATCTAGAAAAAAATAATCCTAAACTTCATATGGAACCTAAAAAGAGCCAAACTTAGGCAAAAAGAACTAATCTGGAGGCATCACATTACCTAACTTCAAATTATACTACAAGGCTATAGTAACCAAAACAGCATGGTACAATTATAAAGGTAGAGACATGATGGGAAAACATAGAGAAGAGAATTCAAAAATAAAATCACATAGCTACAACTAACTTTTAACAAAGCAGACAACATGCATTGGGGAAAAGAAGCCTATTCAATAAACGGTGCTGGGAAAGTTGAGTAGCCACATGCAGAAGACTAAAATAGGACCCCTATCTTTTGTATATATAAAAATTAACTCAAAAAATACTATATAAATGACAAAAATTCCCTTAACATGAATTAAAAACTTAAATGTAAGACCCAAAACCAGGCTGGGTATGGTGGCTCACACCTGGAACTAGAGCACTCTGGAAGGCCATGGCAGGAGGATCTCTTGAGGTCAGGAGTTCAAAAGCAGCCTGAACAAGATCTAGACCCATCTCCACCAAAAATACCTAGGGATGGTAGCATGTGTCTATAGTCTCAGCTACTCAGACAGCTGAGGCAAGAGAATCACTGGAGCCCAGGAGTTTGAGGTTGCTGTGAGCTATGATGATCCCACCACACTCCACCTGGGGCAACAGAGTGAGGCTGTTTGTCAAAAACAAACAAACAAAAAAAGGCCTGAAACCATACAAGTTCTCTAAGAAAATGTAGGAGTAACTCTTCTTGTTTGCTGAGGCAATCAATTTATGACTAAGCCCCCCAAATGGCAAATACCATAACAACAAAAACAAATATATGGGACTTAATTCAATTAAAACATTTCCGAGGGGAAAAAAAAATCTGCACAAGTAAATAATCACAAGAGTAAATCAACAATCTACAGAATGGGAAAAATTTTTGCAAACTATACATCTGACAAAGGACCAATATCCAGAATCTACAAGGAACTCAAATTAACAAGAAAGAAGATAAAAATAAGCCCATTAAAAAGTGGACAAAAGACGTGAACAAAGTTTTTTCAAAAGAAGATAAACAGAAGGCCATAAAAATACCAAAAAATGCTTAACAACACTAATCAGCAGATAAATGCAAATTAAAACCATGAAATACCACCTTACCCCTATCAGAATGGCCATTATTAAAAATATCAAAAACTAACATATTGGTATGAATACAGAAAGAAAGAAACCTTATGCACTGTTAGTGGGACTGCAAATCAGTACAACCTCTACAGAAAACAATATGGAGGCTCTTCAAAGAATTAAAAGTAGACCTTCCATCTACCATTTGATCCCGTAATCCCCCTACTGGGTATCTACTCAAAAGAAAAGAAGCCGTTATATCAAAAAGACACCTACACCTGAGTATTGATTGCAATTCACGACGGCAAAGATATAGAACCAGCCTAAGTGCCTATCCATTCATGAGTGGATCAAGGTAAACGGTGGGACCACACCTATGGAGCATATTGCAAGGGTACAAGTCAAATCTATCAAGTGTAGACCATACATGTCTTAACACAATCATCAAGTAAATGAGGCGAAAGCTATATTAATTAGTTTGATGTAAGCACGTCAAATTGTATAAAAAAATCAACACATTGTACCCCACATATGCATAAATGTATTCATAATCTATGAGTATATGATTTAATAAAAAAAAAAAGAAAGCAATTTTATACAGATAGATACATACACACCATGGAACGTTACCCAGCTATCAGCGAGAATGATAATCCCAAGCGAAGTAGCTCAGGATGGAAGGAACAAGCACCACATATCCTCCCTGTTCAGTGGCAGCTAAATGATGGGCATGCGCAGTCACATGCAGTGTAAGGGACACTGGAAAGTACGAACGGGGGAGGGGGAGGGGAGAAGGGTAAACACACACCTGCCAGGCACAGTGTACACTGCTCCGGTGACAGGCATAGTAAAGCCCGGCTCCAGCATTACACAGTTCATCCACGTGACAAAAAGACTTGTGCTTCATTAATATTTTGAAATAAAAAATATGAACATAAATAAAATCTCTCTCTCAATCATTCAAAAGTGCAGCCAGGACTGAATCAGAAATGGCAGTTGCCCTCTCTGTATTGCCAGTCCCAGGAGAGCCCTGGGTGGTACCAACAGCGCAAGTTACTCAGGAGCTGGAGGTAAGAGTGGGGAGGAGGAGGGTTGGTGTCTCCCGTGGTTGTGTCTCAGGGAGGGAGGACCCTCTGGGGGTAGCAGTCCAGCTATTACTCAGGCTTAACACAATCACAGGAGACAGCGCTGCCCTGGACAAGAGGAAACACCTCACTTCTCAGACGTGATGTGTGACGTGAGGCCCAGGCTGCAGCTGCACGTGTGTGCGGGTTTCCCTTACTCACGTAGCAGGCAGAAAGGGCTTCTTCTAGGGAAGTGTGACCCACATGGGTCCCCCACCCACCCATGTACCCAACCAGCAAACGGATCCTTCCCAGGAAAAGGCAGTGGAGGGTCTCCCAGCTCTTCACCACATGGGAGCCACAAGGGAGGAAGAGACCCAAGGAAACAATGGTAGCAACGACCAGTACTCACTGCTGAGTGGCCCGGTGGTGCAAGGCAGCCTGGACCTGGGCCGCCAGGTGACCCAGGAAGCTGTTTAGAGGTGGCTGCCTGGACGGAAGCTGAAAGTGCAGGCTGCTTTTCTCCTGCTCCAGGTCTTCTAATCTTTGTTTTAACATCTCAGCTGGAAACCCAAAACAATGAGAGAGAGGGGAAAAAAAATCATGAAACTCAAAATAGAGAACCCGGTGTCTCTTAGCTCCAGTCCTCGCCAACCCTCTCCTTAACGACTTCCCGTGAAGACTTCTAGGCCAGCACTTTCATCTCTCAGCTGGTGCTTTGAAGAAGTTCCTTTTTGCCAATAACACAATCCCCCTACCTTTCATTCTTCTAACTCTTAGAGATTATGGTCAATGTTTATACAGTGGTCATAATTATGACTCTTAATAATATCAATCATTTTTAAAACCATAACGATCATTAGGGGTGGGGAGAACCTGCTAGTTTTGATGGGTACTATAAAAATGGTTGGGAAAGGAATCAGTGCCCGATTGTGGCTTTTATGAAATGCCCATCAATTGCCAGGCAGTTCTTAAAGCCACAGAAGGAATCTTCAAATGCTACCCTGCTGCGGACAACCTCCTATCTCCTTCTGTTATACAAGAGGGTTATTGTAATCGTTAAATGATCTTAGATCCCCTAAGACAGAGGTTCTCAACCTGCAGGTCGTGATCCCTTTTTAATAATGAAAATACACTGCAGCATTAGGAAGGTTGAGAACCACTGCCCTCAAATAAGGTATAAATACAGAATCCCTGTAAAACAATTTTCCTTTAAAAAAAATAAGCTGCAGAAATTGGAATCCCCTCTAAGGAGAACTTATGTTTACAACCTAATAACTAAAGAATTGAAAAGTTTCTTATAAAGGTATTTTTAGAAAAATATAGGGACTGGGTTTTAACGTATCATTCATCAGAGCTTCCCTCCTGCTGGTCCTTGCCAGGCTGGTCCACAAAGACCTTGGTCCCCTCCACCGGGGGCAGTGGGTATGCCCTGGGGCAGCCTGAGGTCCCAGGCAGCCGCCTCCGGCCAAGCACACTTGCTACTTACTGCAGTGTGCAACGCAAACATTATCCTTTTTCTACACCATGGTGAGAAAATATCCTAGAGGTTCTACCTTAGATTACAAGATCTTCTTTATGTTCCTAAGGCACAGCTCTACCGGCCACTTTCCAAGGAGGCCATTTCCATAAGAGTCAATTCTGAATTAAAACACCGTTACAACAAGCATGTCATAGTGAACAAAACTTTTCATCATAGGGCAGTGGAGGGTAACCCTGGTGACAGTGTGCCTCTTGACATGTCTCTTCTTCCGCGCTGGCCCACCCCCACGGCACACTCCTAGGCAGAGGAAAGGCAGGGACAGATGTTGTGTGCAGCAAACCCACATCTCTGGGGCTGTCAAGTGAGAAAGTGCCCCGTAAACTTGCTGACAGGAACTGATAGCCGGAAACTAAGAGGATTTACTAACGATCCATTCCAAGAATGCCAGAAAGGGTATTCTGTCCCAGACCAAACCCCAGACCATTACCAGGGCTCTTAATCTGTGATGGAGCTAATTTAGACACCCACTGATAACACAGAGCGCAATCTCGCCTGGCAAGATTTCCCAGGACAGGCTCAGCATCTGTGGCTCAAGCGGCTAAGGCGCCAACCACATACACCTAAGGTGGCGGGTTCGAATCCAGCCCGGACCTGCCAAACAACAATGATGGCTGCAACCAAAAAATAGCCTGGCATTGTGGCAGGCGCCTGTGATCCCAGCTACTTGGGAGGCTGAGGCAGGAGACTTGCTTGAGCCCAAGAGTTGGAGGTTGCTGTGAGCTGTGATGCCATAGCACTCTACCCAGGGGGATAGCTTGAAGCTCTGTCTCAAAAAAAAAATTTTTTCTCAGGACAATAATGAAATGTACCAGCTCCTTAACACCAAGTATGTCACATGACTCATTGCTTGATACTTTATTCCTGGCTCTATAAAAGCAAAACTTTGGTGAAGAGCAATAAAATATTGAAATTTCATGCTCTAAAATAACACCCAGCTACAGTCATAATGTATGTAAAGATGCGTCAAGATCTGAGTGTATTACACAGGGGTTGGGAGCAAACCTGAGTTTGTGACTCAATTCTGCCATTTCTAGCTATCTCACCTTCAAGTTAGTTAACCTTGCTAATCTTCAGTTTCCTAATCTTTAAAAAAAAATGGGGTTAATAATGGTATTGACATCATCAGGTTTTCTGAGGATTAACTGAGATAATCTATGCAAAGCCTTTAGCGTCATGCCTGGCACTTAGTAAGTGTCCAAAACGATGGGCTATTATTAGTAGTACCATTAAGTACTGTCTTGAAAATGTTTGCAATAAATTTAAAAACCCAGGCCAGCCTTCCTCTGCCATCCACTACATTCTAAACCATACCTCCCACTGCTGGTTGAAAAGTCCTCAGAGGTGCCAGCTGATCCAGCAAAATGAAACACTGAAAATGGTAAAGGAGCTGCCAAAAATCCCATTCACAGCACGTTCTAAAGGAAGATATAAGTTATGGCAGGAAATATCCATGATTAGCTATGTTCTATCTTGCTACTCACCTTCAGAAGTTGGCTATCTAAAGTTATTTTCTATTTTATGATTAGAAAAGGGTATCAGGATGGTCACCAGCAAGGGCACAGGTTTGGGCATTGTCTCTAATTTCTAAATCACCTCTCTAACAGCTACCGGCTACCGGGAATTTCCATTCCCTATGCCAACTTTACTTCTGGTTAACGTGAGGGTGTATTATATCCCCATATTGAAAAAGGTAGTTCTCTGGGCTCCGCAAATGACACCCCAATTCACTATTCAAATATTCTAGGAGCAGAGGAATCTCCTAGTCTGTGCAAAGGCACTTTCAATATGTAAGGAGAAAGTCTAGGGGGGCAAAAGTAGTAGCAGACAAGGGGGGAGGGCGTGGGAGTGGGCACAGTGGTTGGGTGAGCGTGGCACAAATGTACCGTCTCTTTCAGACCTCCAAGGTAGAAAGAGGACGCTTTCCCCAGAGTGGCCAGGTTTACCCATACACTGAGGATGCTGTGGGAAAATGGCTCCTCTGAGAGGGAAGAGTTCTTGAAAATGATTAATTTTGTTTTAATCTTCTAAATGGCATGCTTATTTAATATTTCCTGTGTTCATTCAATTAACAAGTACTTTGGGTAACCCAATGCTGCTAGGATGGGGCCTCAAAGATGAATGAGATGTACTCCTGGTTCTTAAGGTGCTCACTGACCAGAGCGAGGGCTAAAATCATGACTGGACCCTGCTTCTTGCCCTGTGCAGAGGAGTCAGCAGGGAGCTGTCCCGTCGGTAAGGGGTGACCGTGCAGGGTGCACAGATACGCTAGCTGCCGCACCATGGATGCAGGGGGCTACACACAGAGGCCTACGTGGTGCCCCCCAGTGCTGAGGATGAGACATATTAGGAGGAACATGGCAGCATGTGGAGGAGACACCAGGATGGGTGGGAGCAAGACACCCCGAGAACTAAGCAGGCAGGAGGTGATGGGCAGCACGACTGCAGCTCACTCCCAGCGGTCAGAAGGAAGTATGGGGGGATGAAGAGGCCCAGGGCCCTGGGTGCTGACGAGTACATGCGTAATCATGGCGGGGAGAGGGCTGAAAGAACCTGGATGTGCTGCGCTGGGGCTAGAAACGCTGGTGCGAACTAACGGTTCTGTTATACAAACTCACGGGAAGGTAAGGGAACGGCTGTAGACGTACGTGCACGTGCATTACAGATCTGTTTTCTCTCTATCTACTGAGGTCTAAAGGTCGTGATGCGGCAGTAGCAATGAGCACAAGTAACACACAGCTCCTGATCTCCAAACGTCATCCTCCAGGAAAGGAGCCAGAGCTCCCGGGAGAAACGGCTGACACTCGAGGCAGTAGAGAAGAGTTCGGGGCATCTTTTTGAACCAAAATATTAAGAAGTGACAAAGACTGATAGGGACCTGTTAACAGAACACAAAACACACCCTGAAGATGTCCCCAGTGGCCAACTCTGGGATAATCTGGGAATCAAAATAAGTAATAGGAATGAAGCACAACCCAGCGGATAGAACAGGAGGCCAGGCGTCCCTGCTAACAGAATGGTGACTAATCAAAAGAAATGATGAAATGAAGGGTTGACGGGGCACAAGGCACCAGTATAATCTCAGAGTATCGCTCCCAGCACATACTAACTGGTTACTAAAGGATTAACGGTAACATTGTGCTGGGGAGACCTGGAAGCCGCAGCATGACCAAGTGGTGCGGGTTGACCTCCATGGTGGCAAGAGCAGCCCATGCCATGGGACTGCCGATGTGAAGCTCCAGGGAGGCGGAGCATCATTCAGAAGAGTCCCCCAACACTGCATGACCCACACTCAGCCATGAGCACACAGCAGACGGACCTCGGTTGAAGGTTCTCCAGACTATCAAGGATGTGGAAGACAGGGAAACGTCAAGTACTGGAGAGCTGTCCCGAGCAGGATGCCCATGGCGTATGCTTGATTCTGTGACTTGAAGAGATGCTGGGCAGTGAGGTGGGAGAAATGGGGTAGTTAGGAAGTGACGGGGCATCAGGACTGCAGCTCATTCTCAAGTGGTCAGAAAAAGACTTGTGATCTCAGCCACAGCTGGGAACCAGAATGAGTGGGATATGCAACTTGTCTGTACTATACTTTGACCTTTGACTCTATACGACCTTCCTGTACATGCAAAATTATTTTGAAATAAATTATGTTTAACTATAAGTAAATAACTCCAGCATTACGAATGCTGTATGTGTGACTCTTATGTTGTAAATCCTCTTAGTTGTATGACTCCTGCTGTGCCTTTAAAACCAAAACAAAAGCGAAAACAAAACACCTCCTCTCCTATTCAGATTAAACCAGTGGTCAAGAAAATAATCATTTTCTTTGGTTTTTCTGGCTTTTAAACCAATGCAGACTTTCTGTGGACATTATTGAAGTGATTTCAATTTGTAGCTCAAGATTTAAGGCCAGCACAATGGAGAGTGTGCTGAATCAATGTGGCTGAAGCCATCTAACTAATAGAACAGCAATAATATCAGAAATATTGGTTGCATTTTCTAACACAGCTAAATAGCAAAAAC